AAGGAAAGAGTTTTTAATGCAGGATACTGCAAAAATGTCCTTTAAAAGCTGAAATGTCCAAGTGATTTTTTTTTTTTAAACTTAATAGAAACAGGATTGAGATGAAACATTCTCCTATAGTATTTCTAACCCCCTGTTACCTTACAGCCACACTGAGCTTAGTGAGGAGAATGGCCTACTGATAATGGCAAAAAACAGTCTAGAGTGCATAGGCATTTTTATAAATGAGCACAAATTGTTAAAACAGACAGCAGAAATGGTGAAAAAATACATGTAATTCTACAGAATGCCTGCAGTGCCACTAATCCAAAATATGAGTAGTAACACAAATAAAGGAATTTTAGATCCTGCTCTTCCTCCCATCTAAAATAAACATCCTTTTAAGATATGATACATTCAACAAGCCTCACATATTCAGAATTATTCTATTTTTTCCCTTTTATTTTTACCTACATATGCTATTTATCTGAATGCTGCCTAATTTGCAGATGCAAATGAGTAAAATCATCTTGAAAAGATGAGGCTATAGAACAGAATGCAGTTTAAGCTGAGAATGTCTTGGACTCAAAGAGCTGCAACACTGGGACACTGCAGTGTCTCCCAGCAGCATCTCCTGGCTTCTAAGACATACTGAGACCATTTTTCCCAGCAGAAAAAGACCTGCAGCTCCCACAGTTTCAGCTTGACTGGTAGATCAATACATACATGAACTTGGACTATTGCTTTTGACAAACTCGTCGGAGATTTGTCAACAGTTCCACATGAAAAGACTTGGGTCTTCTGGCAAAAAATGACCAAGAGCCAATAGTGGCCATATCGGGGACTACATCTTACAGGAATAAAATACATTTATTCTGTTGCTGGGCTATTTTTTCACTTGTATATTTGGTGCTGTTGCTGAAAACAGGAGAGGATAGCTTACATTTCATATCTAAAGTGGAATGCAGAAACATTAACACTGCAAAACGAAAGGCTACAAAGCTACTTCTGTGATTTTAAATCATGAAGCTAGTTCAAATGTGTAAGAGCAAGACAACATTTTTGGTGAGCTTTTTCCAAAAAAGGCAAAAAGCACAACTACTTATTTCTGACAATTAAGCAGCTTACATAGTCTTTGTTCTACTGACACTCAGAAATGCAGTTTTCAATTATTTATGCTGTAGTTCAACACCTAAAGCAGGGAAAAAAGTATGAAGTCTGTGTTCTGCAGCACAAGTAACCCTTACTGAAGGGTTCAATCTATTTATAATAGTGTTTCCCTTAGGAACTACTATTTGGCAGGGTGTACAGGCTTGGATTCTGTAATGCACTATCATCCACTCACACACTGATCAGCCAATAAATGTTACACTATACTTGTTGTATACACACATTATCAGATAGTATTTCCCCCTCCCCACTCCCCAAGATGCTGACCTCATTTAAGAACAGTTGGGAAATCAGAAGGTTGTCCATGCCCAAGGCATTGACATGCCAGCAGCTGGAGTGGACTAAGAAGTTAGAGGATTAAGTGGACTAAGACTATGAGCACACATCAGTCAGAGTTCAGCAACTTCATCCAGTTCACTGAAGGTGGGGTTTGAGTTTCTGAACCCTCTTTGAAGCAGCTGGGAGGATTCACCCCTCCTGACCCACGTGCTCCATTGTAGGGACAGTCACTTTGAGCAGGGCAGCAAAATAATGCTAAAATTTTAAACTGCTCCAGTCATTTGCAAAGTAAGCGTGCATCAGAGGTCTCAGGTGCTTTTGGAAATGTTACCCAGATTCAAACTAAGACATGCATACAAAAATTAAGCTGAAATCAAGCACTATGGTGAAGGACAAAAGAAAGGTTTGCATAAAAAATTAAAAAATTCTAGACCAAGATCCTTCTGGATCTAAAAAAGGCCAGCAACAAAAAACATAGAAGGGGCAGATCCAGTCCAAATGTAGTCCTTTCCATCTCTCCTGTTTCTCAGTCAGTCAGTCTAAATTAGACTTTTATCTATTCCACAGTAACTGTCTGAACAGAGGCAATGTTGACTTCCCACACACATAGCTTTACTCAAGTGTTTTAACACTGTTCGGAAGA